TATAACCACTTTACATTGATGAAAACTAAAAAAAAAAAATACAACACTATTGGACTATAATGTAGTCATTTTCCCAATTTAACTACCTCACACTCCAAGAACCTTCTAACCATTACATTTATTCATCGAGTCCTTAGTATTCTATGGCCTGCAACTTATTGGCCTTGCTGCTTTTAAAGAATACTCATCCTATATCATTGCTACTCTGGGTGTGTCTAATATTTTCCCAAAATTAGAATATGTTTATAGTTTTGGTGGATGTCATTAAGGCAAGGTGCTTTTCTTTTTATTCATTAGCTTAACATGATCTATTGCTAGCAGTGTTGTCCTTGACTATATGGGTAAGTAGCTAGCTGTAACTAGCCTACTGCTGCTTCTTTATTATCCCTAGTCATTAAGAACAATTCACCAGGTCTACAACATTCAGGGAATGAGGAATTTTAGTCTATCTCCCGCAGGAAAGTATCAGAAATTCTGTGAATGTGTTAAAATCACTAAAGCAATTAAAATTTTGGGACTAAGGATGTAGCTTAGTGGCAGAATACTTGTCTAACATGCACAAAGCCCTGGATTCAATCAATGTCACTGGGAAAAAAATATATGGGGAGGGGAGACTTTGAAGTTTTACTTAAGATTTCACCTACTAATATTAGCATTCATCCATGGATCTTTCTTGAAGCAAGAATTTCTATGGTATATTCCTAGTTAACTCATTCCTTCTATACTTATGAGAATAATTCTGTAAGAAGGATCTTCATTTATTTTTCAATTACTTGTTTATAAGTATAGACTTGGCAACTTGTGCTTTTTTCAGGTATAATCGAGTATTGTTGTTCAATTTTTTCTAGCTTTGGCTAAGGGTACATGGGCCCTTTTGACATGCTTTTGTTTCAGGTTTGTTTTGCTGTTTCCCTATGTTAGCCCCAGAAGTGTCCATTCGTTTAAAGAGAAACATTTGCTTTTACTGGAGTACTAGCAGTGTCAGAAAATATGATCTGGACACTGAATGTGTTCCTTGGCGTGAAAGAGTAACTATTGACATCTCCTTTCAGCAGGTAGAACTAGGAAATATAAGTTCATAACTGAAGTCTATATACATCCATGTTTCGCTGTATGTATCTATATGCAGCTAACCTTGAGTTTATACTGTTTCTGACTGAAGAGTTCATCCTTACTTGTCCCCAGCTCTCATTTTCTAGTACAGTTTCTGGTTTGTTTAACCCTTGATTTCACCTGCATGAAACAAACTTACCTACAAGAATACTGTGTTTATGAGAGTGGGTTTTTTTTTAGTTGTTTTTTTTTAAAACATTTCTTTTTAAAAGCAGTAGGTCAATTCCTTTCCCCTATCTTCAATGCTGTGTCATATATTTGCAACATAAGAGTCCACTCATCATGGTGAACTTTCTGTCCTGGGGACCTCCAATATTCTGGTTGATTTTTCCCCCCATTTGTATACAAGAACATTCACTTGAAAGTTGTATAGTCCTATGGATTTTCACAAATGTTTTAAATATTATACAGAGAAGTTTCTTCACCTAAAATGTTCTGATTGGAGCCTTTTAAAGTACTCTTAAAGTGAAGCGTCAGACTTCGTTGATTCTCCATGGGAGGCCTTACCCTTTCTGAAGAGTGGATGGGGGGATTGAGTGGGGGGAAAGGGTGGAGAGGGAGTGGAAACAGAGCTAGCTATGTAAAATGAGAAAAGATTATGTTAAAAAATTCTTAATAAAAAATTAAATACATCTTTCTCCCAGGACACTAACAGAAGCTGAATTGTTTCACAGCCCATGAAGTTCTGTTTTTCCAAGAATGTCTTAGAAACTGAATCACGTAGTTTACATCCTGTTACACCTTGCTTCTTTTACTGCTCAGCAAAATGCACTTGAGATTCGTCTATGATGTTGTAGGACTCCTCTTGTTTTACTGCTGAATATTATCCCATTACGAAGTAGAACAGATATACCACAATTTGTTTATCCATTTAGCTGTTGAAAAGACACCTTTGGTTGTTACTTGTTTTCTTCAATTAGAGGTGAAATTGCATTTATATATTCATGTACAAATTTTTGTGAACATAAATGTTCCATACACTTTGGTCATAAGCTATATATATATGTCTATAAGAGACTATGAAGTTTGTTCTTCAGAGCAGCTCTGCTCTTTGCATTCCCACCGGCAGCACACGAGGACTGTAGTTATTTTGCTTCCTTTGGCTGCTTGTTGTTATAATGTTTTTGATATTATGTTTTTTTCCATGATCATAATAATTTTCAGTGTTATCTCATTGTAACTGGAACGGAATAGGTGAGTTTCTACATGAATAGGAATTTCCATAAAGATAATGGGCTTTGGCTGAGCACAATTTCACACGCTTATTTGTAATTCAAATTTAAAAATAATCTATTTAATGTGCATCAGTGTTTCGCCTGCATGTATGAGGGTGAGGGTGTCAGATCTCTGCATTAAATACAGGTGTGAGCAGCCATGTAGGTGCTGGGAACTGAACCCGGGTCCTCTGAAAGGGCAATCAGTGCTCTTAACCACTGAGCCATCTCTCCAGCCCCTGTAATCTACTTTTTAAGATGGGTTGTTTACTTCATTGTTGTCAGATCATGAGCATTCTTCTTTCTAATGCTCTGGGTACAAGTCCTTGATTGAGTAAGTGATGTGCAGCCTATCTGTGATTGGTCTCATTGTCTTCACAAAGCAAAGGGTTTTAACAGTTGTAAACCCTGTTGTTACTCCTTGCTTCTTTAATTGCTTGGCAAAATGCACTTGTTGCAACAATAATTCATTTGTTTCTAATTATAATAAAGTTGATTTGTTTTTCTTTTTCAGATTAAGTTTTTGGTGTTGTATCTCAATTCACTTTCAAATCAAGAATTTTATGTTTTCTCAAAAAAATTCTTTAGTTTTATGTTATATTTCAGATTTTTAAAAAGTAAAACTACACATAGTCTTGAATTACCATTTTATGACCACTAACCATCCCTTGCATTAGGTATAAATGCTAACTGTGTTAAAATTTATACATGCATACAGATGTATGCCCACATTTGTATGTTTATATTGGAAATAAATGTAAAAGACTGCTGTATTAGATGTGGGAAACTCATTTCATAAAGTAAAAGTATCACTGTAAAAAAAACAAGACAGCCTCTATGATAAAACAACATAGTATTAAAAGGCCAAATATAGACTAAGAAAGATATTTGTGCTTTATGTAACATAAGGTTATTATCTCTAATGAATTAAAAGCTTCTTTTAAATGAATGCCAAGCAAATAGTATAAACAGGCAATTCTGCAAGAAGAATCCCAAACAAGCCAGAAAGCAGTAAGTGAAGGTGAAAAATGAGAAAACCTCCCCCTCCCCAAGGCCAGGACATTGTGGAAGAGGGGATGGAAAGACTAAAGAGGAGAACTGTAGCAAAACTGACTTCTGGACATGACAGGACAGCTGTGGGCTTGTCGACACGAGATCAGCCAGTCAACATTCTATCACTAAGTGGGAAGAGGTTCATGAACCCCACAAGGTTCTTGATAAGCTAGGGGCTTTATCAAGTTAATGGCTTCTGGGGAAGGAGAGTCAGTACTTCTTTAACAGTTCTGACTCCTGGCAGAGCAACCACACCCCAGTGGATAGTCCCATACCCAGAAGTACAAAACTGAAGTTGTTGGGTTATTAAATCTTAAAACAAGAGAATACAAAGTTGGGGGGTTGGGAGGTAGATGAGGATGGATCTGGGAAGAGATGGGGTGACTATGATCAAAATGTATAAAATTCTCAAAGAGTAAATAATTTTTAAAATGAGAAAACCTCAGTTTTTAGCCATGCTTAATGGGCCACGCAAAGAGCAGGAAAGTTGAAGGGGAAGAAAAAATTGCTACAGCTTAATAGAAGAACAGCCCCAAAACACTTATTAATAATATCAAAGACACACCCTCTCACTTGACCCAGTGTGTCAGCAGCTTTTAACAATAAGGGTGGATATTGCATCACTGTCTGATTGGCGTAAAACTATGAGACTGAATGTCCATAAAATATAGGATAAGTAAGTAAATTGTGGTAGGTCTAAACTGTGGGCTGTTATGCTGCCAAAATGATCGTTAGATGCACAGTTGCATAATTCCATACCTAATTGTTCTGAATGATTAGAAAAGATGACAACAGAGGTTCATTCAGGTATATAACATCACATATGTGCTATTGGGATGAATAAAGACAGGAGCCAAGGATCTGCCTGGCAGGTTGACACTTATGATAATTGAGGACCACTGTGAATTTTGCATTATTCCACTTGTTAGAAGTACTCAATTGCTCTACATCAAACACTTTAAATGAAAAGTGAGTTGAAAGCAAACACTAGTAAGCTGGAACAGCCATGAAGACTGGTCTGGATCAGTCCCCTAAGCTATATGAAGTCAGCTATTAGGACAATTTGGGGGCCTCCCTCAAAGCCCTGGTTAATACAGCATCAACGCCAGAGCAAGGAATTCAGTTTGTGATTCCTGACAGGCAGAGGTACTAGCACTCCTTCCTGCTTGGCCCATTGATCTGTTAGTGTCATGTGTGTAAACATCACAATAATAGTAGTCAGTGCTTCTATTTTTCTTGACACACATGTTTTGTGTGAAGCTAGGTGAGAGGTCCAGAACCTGACAGGGCAGATCTTCAGTTCTGGAGCTCAGTCCCAGGGCAGCTGCCACACTGAGGAGAAGTACCTGCCTTTATCACTCAATCAGAGACGTTGAGGTCTCAGGTATCTGGGGGCCAATCTGAACACAGATTCACCTATTCTACTCCACTCAGTGTAAACCTGATGGGTGAGACTGAAACTTCTAAGCTTTGTCTCCATTCTTCACCTGACATTAGGAGTGCACAGGTTTATCCCACAGCAATAACAGGTTGAGGTGGGCATTTCTGTCCAGCTCTGGTGCCCCTTCATGATCAAGTTTCTACTGAAGCCTAACGAGCTGTCCCATACCTTCTCCACAGTAAGGAAGAGCCCGACACTGCTGGAAGTAAGCACACCCCACTTCTTGAGAACAAACAGCTTTGCTGAGGACCTGGACCTGGAAGGAGAGACACTGCTGACCCCCATCACCCACGTGTCACAGTGAGTGTCCATTTCTGCGCACAGAGGCTGAGGCTAATGGGAACTGCCTGGCATAGGGTAAAGCTTATCCACTTGCTACAACACAGTCTGTTCACCTAGTACCCAGAACTACTGCCTATCCTTAAGAATAGGCCACTAGCTGCTGGGTTTGGCCTCAGGGCTTGGGCAGGAGAGGAGAGCAGGGGCTTTCCCACCAAATCTAGAAATATGATCCTCTTGTTTTGACTTATGGAAAACCAGACTGATCATTTTCCACTTGTTTTCATGCTTTTGAGCATCTGAAAAAATAGTTTTTCTCTCCCCTGTCCCCCCTCCACCACTCCTTCAAAAGAGTCAACTTTGTTTTTTAGCATTTCCCCATGGAACTTTGGCCAGAGCCATGGGGCAGATGCCGGGTGATGTCTGCCAGTTGCTGCTACTGTCCTCAGGGGCTCCTTCAGGTGGAGGAAATGGCTGATTTTCCACGCCTTCCAGTTGGCCTTCCCCTGAGGCACAGCTGGCCTGGGACACATGCCCATCCTCTCCCCTGTTGGGGCCCCCAACACGGCATCACCAGGCCAATCCCCAGAATCCAGCCATGGTCTGATTTATTCGCAACACGTGATTCAAATGTCCCCACCAAGCCCAGTGGAGCCAGCCATGTGGTGGAGGCAGGTCACTTGGACCCCTTCTGGCCACTGCACCACTGGATACTCCCCTGGAAAAGTGTCCTTATGTCAAGGTGTTAGTGCCATACTTGTAGCCCTGCTGGGATTTACATACTGGGACTCTTCTGAAATTCTGAAATTCATGTCCTTAGCCTTGTGTGCTTTGTCATAATGCTTCTAGCCTATGTCTAGATTGCTTGCCTTTGCTATCTTCCTGGTACGGGCTTGGGTTTGCAGAGACTGAAGAAATTGGTGATGAGGGTTTCTTAAGTAACCAGATAGCCAAGCTGAGGCCACCCTGGGGGGAAGGCAGCCTTGTCAAATGGGATGATTATGATGAAACAAGCCATGGCCCCTATCTTCCCAGGCTACCCAAACTCAAAGAGAGGTTACCGATGTCTCGTAGTTTTTGAGATGTAGAGAGTGTTTATGGGCTCAGAAAGAGATAGGAAGTTATTGAGAAGCAGGAGTCATTCTCCTTCCTAAAATAGCCTTACTGGCTGGCTGTATTAACAGGGAGGAAAACAAAGGTGTGAGCTGGTGTCTATGGGTAGAGCAATAGCATACAACGTGGTTAAGGCTCTCAATAAATTAAGTTCGGGGTCTAGAGAACTCAAAGTGTAAACACTGGTGTCTTGTGGTTGGTGTTATATGCCATATGACAGTGCCTGCTTTGGAGTAGGGACAGTAAATAGCACCATGGCAACCATAATAGGCCCAAGAGAATTGCCCAAGCCTGGAGAGGCCACTCAGCCTTCTTCGGCTCCTGATCACTCAGCTCTTGCTGGTGCCCATTTCATTTTATTCTCATGGCCATGGAGTAGCCTCCAGACACAAAAGCAGTTGCACCAATAGAGTACAGGGCTCTTGACAAACTCTCCATCCAGATGGACAAACATGCCTCGCAGTTCCTGGCCACTGTGAAGCCCCTGAAGGAAAACACCAGTGGGGTCTCACAGGAAGGTGGAAAACTGGAGATACATACCCATAGTTCAACCTATAGCTGCCCTACAATCACCCCTTTGTGGGCAAAAGGTCACCTGTGCTGGTATTATTACACTCAAAGCTCCTGGAGCCAGACATTGCCCATCTGCTCCAGACACAGCCCTAAGCCAGTAAGACAACATTGCTCAGAGTACTAGTCCATTTCCTATCTCTCCTCTGAGGTAACAGAGCCTGATATGTGAATGACTCTTTCCTGGCTACTCTGTCACCATCTATCCAGGTACCACAGCTCTTCTCAGGTCAGCACTCCCGGAGTCTCTCTGAGTAGGAGATGGACAGTCTTTACCCAGTCAAGTCCCCACCCAGGAACACACCAAATACAACAGCTGGAAGTAAGCCAATCTGAGAAGGTGGGAAGGTATGAAAGGAGCCCATGGTGGTACTAAGTTAAAAGACCTAAGGCAGGGGCTTCTCCAAAGAGATACAATCTGGTCAAAGCAGAGTTGAGGGTCAGGGATGAGGTTATGGACATCCACATACTCAGAAGTCAAGTGCCATCCTTGCTGGAAGTTCTAGCAAAGATGATCCTCATAGGCATGACTGTCTGGGTCCTAGAACCCTATGTGCTTTCAGGACTACTGGCTTTTCCGAGACCCCTCCCCGTCCTGGGGGAACACAGGCAATCGTGGGTACTGTATATGGGGTCCACGTGCCCACACCAGGACTGCATTCCTTTGCTTCTTGCACAGTCAGCTTGTTGATTGATGTCTGTAATTAAGCTAGGCTCCAGCAGCTCCGTGATGCAGCATGGCTCCTGTGGGCAACTGGCCCTATGAACCTACACTGAAAAAAGAGGCACGCACCCTGGTACGTGTCTACCAGGGACAGAGATGTGTACTAGGGTCTTGCAGGGGGCAGAGTGGGTGGGAGGCAGTTGCAGAAAAAAAAACAGATCCATTTTTCTTCAGCATTTTACTGATGTTAAATGTATTACCATGCTGGGCCAGTTCCAGAATTCAAATTAAAAGCATAAATAAAGACACATTTTGTTTCCATCTCAAGCTCTCCCCACCCAGGGGCCCCAGGGAGGTGAGGTCACTGTAGCCTTGATTATGGGAAGGTCCCTGGGGCTGGGTGAAGCTCCTCTTTTCCAGAGCCTGTTGGCCACTGATAGTTTGGGGACCGAGAGGCCAAGATGCTGGCCTATTGAAAAACTAGAGAACTGCTGGTAAACAGGGAAGGATGCTGAGAAGACAAGGCAGCTTCTCTGACCCCAGCAGCTCCCGAGCACTTCCCAGGCCTTATTCAGCTCTGGGCAGCTGGACCTCAGACTTGCATACATATTTCAGTCAGATGCTGTCTTCCTGATTCTAACATCATTGGAAGGGAGCCCTGGACTCTTCAAGCTCCCTCAACAGGAATCCTCTGCCCAAAGCCCTGCTCCAGGTTTCTGAAGGCCAACTATGAAACAGAGAATAGAGAGAGACCTTTGTCAACACGTGAAGGAACTACAACAATAGATAGGGGTAGGCTTATACCTTTAAGTCCCCAGGACGCTGCTTACTCTGGGAAACTGGCAAGGGCTTGTATGCATCCATTGCCTTGTGTGGTATCCCGCCAGCTGGAAAACCCTCATCACTCCTGCAGGCATTGGAGACACATGCATCGTCCAGTGTCTACTCGGCCTTCCTTTTCCTGGGGACACCTCTCACATCATATTTAGGCAATCATAAAACCCCCAAGTAACAGCTCCCTGACTCTTAGCCTGGTAGGGAGCAGAGTGTCCACAGCTCCTCTTGGTCACTCCTTTTCCAGCGCTCCTCAAATTCCAGGATGAAGGACCCTAAGACTGCCACTTCTGACACAGAAAATATACCTTAGCCTTGCCTGAGATAAAATAAAGTCTCCATGTAGCACCTATAAATAAAAGCTAAAGGACAGTGGGTGTGGCCTCAGTGAGTTTTTCCTATAGCCACTTCACCCCCACCCTTCAGTTGATGTACCAATCAAAACTTGTCTGGAACCTACACCTTTGACCTATCAGTTATACAAGGGATACCCAAGATGAACATCCCCAAAGGCCAAGCCTACCATAAGTACAGCAGTCTATAGCTTAGCCTGGCTCTCTTATATAGTTTCCCTGAAGATTTCTTCCAAGAAGTTGGTTCCTGACCCTTCTGACTTTTCTGTTGTGACATTTCCAACTGGCAGCTTCAACTTTTATTTACTAACCAGCCTGTCATCCTGCTCTGAAGGCGCGGGGGGGGGGGGGGGGGAATTCAGGGGCTACCTAGTTCACCAAGGTGGGTGGAGCAAAGTCTAGAGGGCAGAGGGAAAGAAGTAAGAACGCAGGCAAGGGCATCGCAAGAATCCCACCAGGTGCCCATAAGCACCTCCCGGGCGAGCATGTGCTTGCCGGGCCTCCTGTGACATGACAGCTTCAAAAATCCTTGAGCAAAACCAGCCCCACGTGCGTTAATTAGAATTTCCATGTCTTCAACTTTCTCCTGGACCCTGCAGAATCTCACGCCAAGACATTTGAGTTTCTCTTTTCCAGGGAGGCCCGCTGTGGCCTGGCTTTCATCCACATCACTACTAATGTCTCCTGAATTCTGCATTTGTCAGCGAGGCTGGGGCCAGCCTATGCCTTCTGGAAAGGGGGGCATTAGTAGATCAGGAGGCTAGCTCTTCTGATGGAACAGTTTTGCCTGGGATGTTCAGGGCCTGGAGACAACGAGGGCCTGCTGTGGCACCTCAGTGAGCACCCATTTCTCTTACTTGGCTTCTCAGCCTTCAAATGTTGATGGGAGAAGACTGAAAGGCCATGTTGGGGGCAGTGTCCAGGAGGACAGGGAAGGGGCTTGTCAAGAACAGATGAGACCAGTTTGTCTTTCCAGACTAGTGTCCTGTCTTCTGTGAATCTCCAGACCACCTCTGTCTGCACAAGGTGCCAAAGAAGCCTCATGGGAGCCCTCCCGGGAGGGCTGTGCAAGGCTGTATGAGTCACAGGATCCCTGTCAGAGCCCCACACGGCCCCGGCCAGGCTCAAACCCGTCTCTGAAATGCACGGGGGATTAAATGTTCTCCTAATTAAATTAAAAGCGAGGCGGAGTGGCTCAGTGGGAAAGAGACGGGACTGGGAATTGAATGCCCTCAATCTGGCTCCCAGCCTGCACTGGCCCAGCTGCAGGCAGCCCCCAGTGCCCCCTAGTTTCACTTCCTCCATCCAAGCACGGGGAAGGGATGCAGAAACCTCTCAGAACTATTCTGAGGACCTCACTGGCTAAATGGATACCAGTGGAGAGCAGCAGTATATACAGTCAGAGAGAAAACAGGAGAGACCCAAACAGATCTCCTGAGAGCTGCAAGTGGAAACTCAACTATACAGGGCCTGCTAAGGACAGCTCC